TCCTGATGCTGCTTGGCCTGCTGTGTTCATCCAGCTGTACACCTTGTCATCTCATCCTCTCTCATTTGCCCTGTTAAGACCCGATATGTTTCAATAAGATCATCTCTCGTTCTTCTAAACTCCAAGTAGAATTTCAACCTGTTTAGGCTTTGCTGAAATCCTGATGGATGCCCTACTTGTATCAGCATAGCAATGTGATGTAGAAAAAATATCGTAAATGTAACAAGTCATATATAATTTGCTGATGTGTGCAGAGCCTGGGTATGATAACTGGCAGAATCTATTTTAAAGATCTAAGAATTTCAATTTTTTGAGAAACTGCATGACTCTGTAAATGTGTATTTCTTTCCTCAGGTTTAGTATATTTATAAAATGCTACAAAAATATATTGGAAGGAAGAAGAGAATAAAAATAATGATTAACATGGCACCTGCAACTAAGTTATAGAAATGGCTGAGATATTCAGCAGTAATGCAAAAAAAAGTTAAACACTGGCCTGTAGCTTTAGCTTTAAACTAAATTTATGGAACTGTACTGGAACAAAATCTAAAGTAATAGGAAAATGCTGGTCAGGCAACATGTCTGAATGCAATTTAAGTTTGAACCTTGTTTTACTTTGCATGAAATTTTATATTTATCCTGAAGAGGGCTCTGAATATTAAAGCAGAAAAATGTGCTGACTTTAATACGCATATGTGGTTTTTTCCATTTCCGTTCCATGAAATTTTAACAATCAAATTCAGTTGCATTTATGGTAGGGAAACGATTATGAACCTTTGTACGTTACAGCTGCATATGCCGTTTGTTTTGAATGATATAGCAGCAAAATAATTGAACAGATTACAATGTCTTTATGCTTTCTACATGGCTCTGAGGTTATGTTGATGCCTGAGCCATATAAACCAAGAAAGTCCAGGAAGTTTTATATCTGGTCTGTACTAAGTTAACTGATTTCTGGTCAGGTAGAAACTCACTACACTGCTCCAATTTAAGGAGGGAAAAATTTGCTAGTGTCTGCTCCTGATACAGTACTGTGATTTCTTGTCAGGAGTATGTCTTTAAAACGTCTTGAGGAGGGGCAGACTCTGGCTGTTGTGCAAGCATGCTGGAATATGCCATAACATCTGGAGTGAGGGCTGGTAATTTTGGCAAGTTACTAAAGGTGCCCTATGGTGTTGTATCCAATAAGGAAGTTAGTGCATTGCAGAAAAAAATACTTTAAATATAAATTAATTTTGAACTGTGTAGGGCATAAGCTACATTTTTGGGGTGAAGCATTTCTAAATTATCACATTGTAACATTTTAATTTCCTTTGCCACAAATTTCTGAAGTGTTTAGCTGAAATTTGCTCTTAGCCCATGAGACGCAATCACCTCTTACACTCATTTAATTCAATATTTTGAATTTTACTTCCATTCCTTCAACTGCTTTCCAAGAAGCTGGATTGATATTTCAGTAGTTTCAATTGTATATCATTAAAGCTTCCTTGTTTAGCTCTTGGAGTTTTTTAATTTGTAATAAAGTTCGCCAATTCTCAAGTTTTCAAGTAGTCACTTCAGTATGTTATGATTTTCTGAAGAGAATAGGCCCAATTTTGTTCGTTCTTATAACTAAATTACTGGTACCTGGAATAATCAGTACGCTCATTATTTATCTAAATAAATGAATTAACTTTTGTTTGCATGCATTTTGAAGTCATGAACTCGCCATAATAAAACTAAATTTGTGCCACTGTGAATGGACATCTATTATTTTGAAAAGCTGTAGTATTTAGAAAAAATTTAGCAAAGATGTGTGGAATAAAAGATCATATTTTTTGATAATGTACGTTAATACTTTGAATATTCATTTATTCAGCTAAAGTTGAATCCAATAAAAAAGGTGCATATTGATTTGAGTTCACAAGTTTTATTTTGGTAATTTCTGGTAGTCTAGATTAAATTTTTAACAAACACTACTTCTTTCTTAAATTTTGCTAAAGCTAATGAGCTTACTGTCAGCTGGCCTGAGAAATTCAAATTTAATCCTCCAACTCAATGCTAATTGAGTTTTCATTGAACTTTTGTTACGAGTCCCTGGAATTGAAACTAATAGTGGTTGGGAATAAAATGCTCAGGATATTTGTTTCTGGTCTTTAAAATGGATTATGAAGTTTTGTATTGTAAACTGTAAGTTTAAAAGAACTTCCTTTTGTGTGGCAAGTTTTTTTTTTTATAAAAGCCTTGTTCAGTTTAATTTCTTGATTCATGTATATTTCAGTCTGCGTATTTTGCCTACAATGTGGTCATTTTTATTATTGAAGTATGAGCGGTCTAGAGTAATGCAGTGTCGTCTTTGTTCTGCACCTGTTGCCTGACCTGAGTCAGATTCTGAGTTGGATTGCTAGTGGATGAAAGCAACTTGAGGAAAGCTTTGATTCTATTTTAGCTGAACCAGCTTTGCTGCTTCCTACACTTGGCAGTCTGAAGTGGTTTGCTTTCCATAATGTAATATTTGAATACAGTGATCATTATAAGGACATTTATAGGTCCTCTTAAACAAGCCCTCAGATGTTCAGTATTAGAAATTCCCTGTTAACAAGAAGTTGGATTTTTGTTAATGAAAGTTACCTAGATTTCTAATCTACCGCCTTCTCATGTCCTTCCTCCTAGTCCTCCATTTGTCTCCCCCACCCTTCCTTTGCCAAAGATAGAAATCCCTAACTCAGCAAATATTTGAACTTGCCTTGGTTAATGTTTAAAGAGAGATTTTTATCATTAGTTGAATGCAGACCATTGATGTGCTGCAAGTACAGAACTTGGGTTCTTTTTTTAATTATTAACTTTGTGCTCTGCACAGGTATCTGCACACTATTGCAAAGAGTTCACTTGTTAAAATTGCATGCTGATTGCATGAACCTGGTGTTCAGATGCTGGGTCTGATGTTTTCCCTGTTGATGGGATGGTGCTTCTGCAGCTTTAAACTGTACCTTGAAACCACTTGCAGAAGGCAAAAGGTATTGCCTTACAGTTATTCTATCAAGTGGTTCAGACATATCCAATTAACACAAGCTAATGCAAGGAAATTGCTTAATACAGTAAATTGTCAAGATATCTAATGAAGTAGAAAACTCACATTGTATAGTACAATATGTAAGCTTATCTGTGAATATGTAGTTTTTAAAAATCTGATGTAAAATTGCTCCTTGAGAGGTATGACTTTTAGCTAGGATGGGGTTTGGATTTTTCTGTCATTCATCTTTCTCTCCCACCCCCAACCTCATCCCAAACCTTGTCCCCAGTGCCTAGTTTAGTAGATATCTGGCATTAGGCCAGGCAATGTAGGCAGTGGAAAATAACTTGTCTGTCACTTGTTCTGTCTATGCTAGCTTAGCATATGGTGTTGCAGCAAGCTAGACTGGTTTGAGTTGAGCATTAACCTGATTGTACAAGTCTGTGCATCCAGGGTTTGGCTCTTGTGGTAAAGCCCTGAAGAGATTAAAAATTTGCTGCCCTAATTGCAAAACTCCTTTTTTTTTTAATTTCTAGTTTTTTAAACAAAACTTTTTACAACAGAAGTGAAAAATAAAGAAGGCTTTTGTTTTGCAAGTAGTACTTTTATCACAATGTACCTTTCCACAATAGCTAACTTACAATACAGTTCAGTTTAGAATTTGTCTCTCTTTAATTTTAAACTTTCAAATAAATGTTTTCATTCTATTGTTTGTATGGAAACTTGCAGAAAACGAGTGCATCAGTTCCAAGTTTGGTGGAAAAACATGTTTCAGTTTTGAATATTGTGCAAACAGCAGTGGATTGCCGCCTTTTCCTCTGTTTAGAAGAAAATTCCAATGGTAGTTCTTATTTGCCCAAGAGATCTGGGTGTTGCAGGCAAAGGCATTTCTTACTGCTGTTGAAAGTAGTGCTAAGCCACTTTCTGGAACTGCTGTTGTCTGTGTGGTGTGGGTATATAAGTAGAGTTCTGTTTACTGATGATAGTGACTGAATTTTTTTTTAATTCAAAATCATTTTCAAATTTATCATTTACAAAGCCTCTTGAATTATTGTTAATTGCTATACAAGACTTATCACTGATTTGTATGGTTGGTTATGCATGAGTTTTGCATCAGAGTTCTTCATAGTATATTGGGCTGATGGTGTAGGGATTTGGTGTAAAGTAGTACATTGCATTTAAATCTCTGATCCAACTTCTGAGGTGAATTAAATGGAGACATCTTTCTTTATTTAAGCTTCACATTGATTTGGATCACCTAAAATCTTATGAAATTTATAGTTTTACAAATGCTGATGCTTCAACCCACACAGCACAGCTTTTGGAATAACTAAGTATTAGAATGCTGCATACAGGAAAACATTTTGTACAGGGCTTTCCACTGGTTGGGGCAAATGTGAATTCCTGCCAGCAGCTCAGTTTTATTCTTATTGTTGGGCATTACATTGTTCAGACCCTTGTTTAATTTGTACCTAAATGACACAATGTCAGCTTTCAGTATTATGGATGTATATTTTAAAACATTGTTTATTTCAATCTTTGTTAGTATAACTGGAATTTATCAATTTTTGAACAATTGTTTATGTTTAACCATGCTCTGTTTTCTTCTCATTGGCCACTTAAGGTCACATAAACTTGAAATAATGTGTTTTTTTTGTTTTAAAAGATTGGAACTTCTTAGAATGGACTATCTTTTGGGTACTGTCAGATGCATTGAGGAGCCTACGTGCTGCAGTTAAGCTTTTGTCAGGTTGCCAAAGTGGGATGTACCAAGCAGGAAGCGTTAGATAGAAAATAGAAAATTATTAGTGTTAACTTACTGTGCAGGATTTTAGTCTGTTAACTAATTTTATTGTAAAATGTTTTTCATTTACGGAATTTGGGAGTTGATACTTATATTGTACTGAAAGTCACTGGATATAGGAAATGAGCAGGAGTGGTCTGGTGACATTATCTTGATTGGATTGGCTGTAGTGTATGATGTAAGAGGTTACAGTGCAGCCCTTCATAGGTTTTAAAATGAATTCCAAGACACCATTGTAAAAAGACTGCATTTCTTCTTATGATTGACCCTGGACAGCAATGTTTGAATCTTAATGTACAAGACAGTTTGGAATATGGAAGAACTAGAATTAGATTATCGTAGAACAGAAATTCACTGTGCCACAGATTTGATGTTTTACATAGAGATGGATCCACCAGGTAATTCTACAGTAAAACCAAAACAGCACTGGTTTAATGTAGGTATTTGTGTACAGTCTGTGACAATAGCAGAGTTGTTGTTTTAGTAATTACTGGATGTTAAATGTTTAAAATTTTCAGCCTCAACAAAGCATATTTGTTGCTGCTGATGCACATTTTCCTTCCTCTTGTACTATATACGTTAACTTTAGTGCTGTAGGGGGTACTTCAATCACTGCTTGTAACTCCATTGAATGGTGGATAGGACTACCATTATTTATCCTTTTCAAGTACGTTAAATGCAGGAAATCTGCATCAAAGCCAAAAGACTCAAATTCTATATAGTGAATTATTTATGATTTTTATCCTGCCATAGGGTTAGTAGTGTGTGGCTGGTATTCAGGAAGGAAAAAACAGTGAACATTCTTGAAACTGAAGTGGCAATGTAAAATTATGCATTTATCAAAGATGTCTTTAATGAGTCAACAGTGGTATTAATGAAGCCACTGGGACTGCACAGAAAAAAAAACCTTTTATTAGATGCAGCATCATAGAGCTATTTTATTGACAAATTTAAGATTAAATTCATTGCTAGAGCAGTGTGTTATGAAATTAGTTTACTGTAGAGGAACAGAATTTTAAGAAACATTTTTAATATAAATTATAAAATAGCTGGCTTTTGAGTATTTAGCATTTAGTAAGAATGTTATCTACCATTTTAATCAGTATTTCACACAATTGATATGAATAAGTAATTGATTTATGAAAACTTGTAATGTTTTAAAAGGCATGCAACAGTATTAGCTGAAATCACCATTTTTAAAAATATATTATTAATGACAGTACTGTGGTTAGTGTGAGATGTCCTAGTGACCGTATTTAAGGTTCATATAAATTCTATAAAGAGCTAGGCTATGCTTAGTGTTGTGTCTATAATAATGACTAATCTTTTGAAGGTTTAATATCCACTGAAGCTGAAAAAATCCTGCAGTATTGTTTTTATTGGCTGCCGAACCTGTTTCTGTATGGTTCATTTAAAAACCTTTTTAAGCAAGGTTTCAGTACAGTCCCTTAACCCTTTCATTACTTTAGCTGTTGGAAGAAAACTACATTTAATTGGTGTAGAAATATTTTGAAGCAGCTTTTTGTAAACTATATCCATAAATTTGAAATGTGAAGTAGTTTCTTGAGGATGGAGAATATTTGAAACAGGTTGAGGTTGTGCTTAAATTTCAGATTTTAATATCCATTATTATCTGTCAAATGTGGATTGATTGCTATTGATTACAGCAGTAAATTGAATGTCTAATTAACAAATCTCATTTACATAATTTCCTGCTGATCATCTAATACCAGTTAGTGGTTACGTTAAAATGTGCTTCCACATTTAATTAATTTTAAAACCAAATGAGATGCTCGTGATTTGATTTAGTTTGTATAATCACCTGAAAATGTCTTTTAGGTTAGTAGTATATAGCATTGTACTTTGTCACCTGGAAAATCACCTAGATTATTTCAGTATGAAGTCAGACTAATGCTTGGATTCCAACTCTGCAGTGTTGATTTCCAGTCTAAGTGTCATATTTTAAAACCATATTTACATAAATGATTTGGATGTGAATTTGCGAGGCATAGTAAGTTTGAGAATGACACCAAAATTGGTGGTATGGATGACCATGAAGAAAATTATCTAAGATTACAAAGAGGCCTTGATCATTTGGGGCAGTGGGCTGAGGAATGGCAGGGGAAGTTTAATTTGGATAAATGTGAGGTATTGTATTTTGGTAAAACAAACAAGAGCAGAACTTATGCAATTAGTGGTAGGGTCCTGGGTAGTGTTGTAGGACAGAGACCTAAGGATTCAGGAACATAATTCTTTGAAATTTGTGTCACTTGTAGAGGGTGGTGAAAAAGGCATTTTAGCATGCTTGCCTTCATTGTTCAATCTTTGAGTATAGAAATTGGGATGTCAAATTGAGGTTGTACAAGAAGTTGGTGAGGCCTCTTCGGAAGTACTGTGTATTGTTCTGGTTATCGTGCTATAGAAAGGATATTACTAAATTGGAGAGGATTCAGAAAATAGGATTTACCAGGATGTTGGGAATGGAGGGTTTGAGTTATAAGCAGAGGCTGGGAATATTTACACTGGAGCGTAGAATGTTGAAGGGTGACCTTTTATAGTGGTTTATAAAATCATCAGGGTGTAGAAAAGGTGATTAGCAAAGGCTTTTTCCTTAGGGAAGAGGAATTCAAAACTAGGTGGCATGTTTCTAAGGTGTGAGGAAAAAGATTTAAAAAGGACAGGAGGGGCAATTTCCACATGGTGGCTCGTATGTGGAATGGATGCATTTACAGTTACAACATTTAAAAGACATTTGGATAAATACATGAATAGGAAAGGTTTAGAGGAATATGGGCCAAACACTGGCAAGTGGGACTGGTTTGGTTCGGGACCATGGTCAGCAGGGAGTGGTTGAACCGAAGGATCTGTTTGTGCTGCATGACTGTATATTTGTCAGAAATTGGAGGTTTTTTGGTTTATTCTTATCAGTGTTTGAGATTTTGGAAAGCAAAAGCATTCTTCAGAACTGAATGAAGGGAGGAGTATGGTTGACCTCATTACAGATGGAATATTCTCCATATTGAATCCTTACAGCAAGAATGACCTCTACTACTGCATTTATATCATATTTTGGTCAACCTATTAATTTCAGAAACCAGATTTCTAGCTTGCTGCTAAAATGTGTTGTGTTGTTGGTGTGAAACGTTTCATTTAGGATAGAGACACTGCCACTGCATCTCAATATCTCTGGACCAGAAAGTCCAGGTGAGGGAGGTATGTCAACGCATCCAAGCAGGTTGATTTACAAATGTTAAAATGCTTCAGTAAGGTAAAGTTGGAACAGAATCTGATTTTAACCAGAGCAACTGCAACTTAAATTAGTACATGGTTACTTTTAACTGTGTGCAATTAGACAATTTTGAGAGCATCAAGTTGAAGTAATATGTGATGTTACAGACACAGAAAATGCTGAAGAAACTTCGGTCTGTTAGCATCTGTGGAGAGAGAAACATAGTTCACAGTTTAAAGTCCATTATGACTTCATAGTCTAACGGCCTTTGAACGAGAGCCATATTGGACTTGAAACATTAACTCTCTGTTCCTCTCCCCACAAATGCTGGCAGACTTGCTGAGTTTCTGTAGCATTTTGTGTTAGTTTCAGATTCCCAGTATCTGCATTATTTTGTTTTTAAATTAAACTGTGGGGTTTCAGGTTCTTTTTGGTTAATGATGGAACTTTCGATCCCCTTCTATTTAATGCTTTACTTGGAATATTTTGCACATGCCATATTATAGCATTATAAGGCAGATTTGTCAAAAATGTTAAGGGCATTTTATGAAATTGTACTTTATTTTTATTTTATGCAGCTTTACCTCCAAAGCCACCAAAGCCCACACCTGTAACTAATAACGGGATAAACAGTAATATGTCTCTGCAGGATGCTGAATGGTACTGGGGAGACATTTCAAGGTAAACCTATATCTTTGATTGTATTCTCTATTCCCAAATTGGAATGAAACTGAGCATGATAGTTCACCTGAGACAGCTGCTCAGGGAAATACCTATTTACTTGTTTTCATCTGTTCCAAACATAAATAGTAGGGGGTTGCAAGGCAGAAGATTACTTAAAGCTGGATAGCAGCAAACCAGCAATTTTAATTATTTATATATAGTGAGAGTAGAGGTTCTGTGATTGTCAACAAGGATAGAACAGAAGAATATTATTTAATTCAGGTGTTCAGAAGTCAAGAATACATTTCGATGAAAAGATTTCTTTCGTGCCTCTCAATTCAGATCAAAACTGAACTGGATTGATTTGTGAACATACATATCAGGAAAAGATTTATAGGCTGAGTTTCTTTTCTGTTAGAAAAAAGACAGTGCAAAGGTGACCCAATAGATGTATTTAAAATTATAAAAGGTGTTGACACAAGTAGATACAGCGAGAATGTTGCTCTTTGTGGGAAGAGCATTACTCAACACCAACAATAGGGTCACTAGAAAATCTGATTGGGAATTTAGAAATAATTTCCTTTTAAAGGATTATATGAATGTGGAACTCACTACCACAGGACATGGTCAAAGGAGGTAGTTATGATGCATTTTAAAGGAAGGTAGACTAGCGTTTGAGAGAGAAGGAAATGGAGGGTTATGATTGATTTTTAGATGAGGAAAGGTGGGAGACAGTTTTGAGTGGAGCACAAGTGTCAGTATGAGCTAGTTCGCTGAATGATCCATTTCTAAACTGTACGTACACATCTATGTAGTGTGCGTAAAAATTTCCCTGAAATATAGATTTCCTTCTAAAGAAGAAAAAGCTAATTCTCAAAGTGACAACTTTGTATTTGCTATTCCTTTCTCCAGCAGGACTTTGAAAATACTTCTAAATTAATCGTTCCTGCTAACTAAATTCCTAGCTAGTACCTTGCCAGGTGCAGTTGGCTAGATGGCTAATCCAAAGATCAGATAATGTCAACAACACATTTCCATTCTGGCTGATGTGAAATTGGGGCCTACCTCCTCGGTCTAAAATAAACCTCAGTACTTCGTAATGGCTTTGCAAAATATCATCAGAGAATTCCAGAGGAAGTGATGATCTTGTTAGAATTCATGCAGAATTAAAAGCTTTGCAGAATGATGGTCTAATTTAGCAATTTTCCTTTTCTCTCCCACCTTCTCAACCACCACCACCTCCCTCTGACCCACCATTCTCCCATACCCCATAGAGAGGAGGTCAATGAAAAACTGCGAGACACTGCTGATGGTACCTTTTTAGTCCGTGATGCTTCTACCAAAATGCATGGTGACTATACTCTTACCCTAAGGTAAATTTTCTGAACATTTGCTATCAAATATTCATTCTTTAAAGCATCTTGATAGACGTTAGCACACAACTTATCACCTGAAACTGTGAAATGTGACTGTTTGTTTTGCAGGAAAGGAGGCAATAATAAATTAATCAAAATTTTTCATCGAGATGGCAAATATGGCTTTTCTGACCCATTGACATTCAATTCAGTGGTGGAGCTTATAAATCATTATCGTCATGAATCTTTGGCACAGTACAATCCTAAACTAGATGTTAAATTATTGTACCCAGTCTCTAAGTTCCAACAGGTATGATATGACATTTTTGGATTGTTGAAAGACTCTATTCTGTTGAAGGAAAATATACCTGTTGGCGTTGTGTATAGTTGAGAAGTCCAATTTCTGAACTTTATCATACTTTGAAGGGTGTCCTATTCTTTTAAATTGTAATGAACCTGGTGTGCTATATTTACTGTGCTTCCTTTATACTTTAAATGTATAATGTTCAAATCTAGACAGTAATACTATTTGAGATGATCTTCAGAAACAGCCAGCTTTTAACTGTTGCATAGTATTTGTAGTTTTATGTCATGTCATCTCCCATTTTCTTCAGGATCAAGTAGTGAAAGAGGACAACATTGATGCAGTAGGCAAAAAATTACATGAGTATCACACACAGTACCAGGAAAAGAGTAGAGAGTACGACAGACTTTATGAAGAATGTACAAGAACATCTCAAGTGAGTTCTTCTTGCCACCAACCAAGTTGCTTCCGTTAAAAATTAGCACTTTTATTGGACTGAATTCTGTAGTGCATATCAGGATGAAATATTTGAGTGACTGGATTAATTACTTTTAAGGAAAATAATTAAAACTCTTATTAAGAAATCAAGATTTTCCACTTCTGATACATAATGTTTTGCACATAGTAATTTATTTTTTTCAATTAGGAAATTCAAATGAAAAGGACAGCTATTGAAGCATTTAATGAGACAATCAAAATATTTGAAGAACAGTGTCAAACACAGGAAAGGTACAGCAAGGAGTATATTGAAAAATTCAGACGAGAAGGAAATGAAAAGGAGATTCAGAGGTTTGTATTTTGTCTTGATTTAATCTCTTCAGTTTCGATATTTTAGAAGTTCATAAAGGTCTAGTTTCCAGAAATAGTGTTGTGTTTTTATTCGTTTTATTTGGCATTTAATTTGCCGTATTTTATGTGAAGAGGATTCAGAAGAAACCTTTTTAATGAGAGAATAGCAAGAATATGGAACTTGTTGCCATGATCACTCCATGATACATGGTATTGATGCATTTAAGGGGACTGTGGATACATGATGTAGGAGGATATACCGATGTGGGGATGCTGAGGGGTTTGAAATACTTGAGTAGCTTGCTCAATTAAGAAGGCATTTCTGAGTTGACCACATTACTGTTGGTCTGGAGTTGTATGTAGGCCAGACCTGGTAAGGATAACAGATTTCCTTCCCTATAAAATATTAGTGAACCTGATAGGTTTTTACAGCAGTCAATTATGCTTTTGCGATTTTTTTTTTCCCCCATTACAAAGAGCAGATTTTAATTCCAATTTGATTAATTGATTTTAAAATCAATCAGTTGCTGAGCTTTGCTGGACCTCTGGATTAGTAATCCAGTAACATTATCATTATACCACCACCTCGCCATGGTGAACTTAGATGAAGTTTGGGAGAAGCCTAAAGTAAAGCATAAATGTCAGGATGAACTGGTTTGCTGTGCGCTGTTTCCTACAATAATGATTTGTAGACTGCAGAAGCAGTTTACAGGAATAGTTTTGGAATGCGGCACTTCAGTTAGAAGATAGATTGAAGAAGTTGTGACTGTTCTGCTTGGAGAGGAGAAGACTAAAAGAAGATCTGATAGTGGTCTTCAAAATCATGAGCAGGCGAGGTAGAGCAGATACAGAGAAACTTCCGGTTTGTAAAAGGACCAAGACAAGAAGAAAGTGTGAAAGTCTATCAGCGAGTATTTAGGTTGTGGAATGCATTACTTGGAAGCATGGTAGAAGTAGGTTCAATTGAGGTATTCAGAGGGCACTAGATAATTATTTTGATATAAATAATGTTCCGGGGTATGGGGAGGGGGAAGAAAAACAGGATATTGTCTTTAGGTAACGATGCTCATTTAACAAGCTGGTGCTGGCATAGTGGACTGAGTGGCTTCCTTCTGCAATGTATCACTTCTGTGATTTATATCCCTTGTTCCAGATGTGGCCACAGTTGGAAAACGTTTCTCCGTATTCACCTTATTGAACCACTTCTTTTTCCGAAGTTGTTTCTCTTTCAGTGCCACATTTATTTATAGTTGTGTTCTTTGAATTCTGTTAGCCTGCACAAATCCTCTTCTGCAGTGCTTCATTATCTTTTCTGTAGCATGGAAACAAGAATTGCACATACTGGGTTCTACATAAATTTAATGATACGTTACAGCTTTTGTACGCTGTTACTCTGGCAGTGAATGCTTGTATTTACTGTGCAGGCTTTTGTGGGTTATCAGTTTGTGTGTGGCTACTTTTGATTCATTTGTCTGTATGCCCATATTTCACTTAGTTTGCAGACTTTCCAAGG